ATGTGTTCGATCCTTGGAGAGTACCACTTTGTTGTGGTTCTAGTCGCGGCGCTTGGAGAGGCATCCTAACTCCTGGGTGCTTAGGTAAACGCCTGAGGGTAATTTATGCTCGCTTCGCCTTGCTCTTGAATTGTGGGTGAACCCAACCCCTTTCCAAAATTTTGTTATAAAAAAAAAAACTGAAAAGCCAAAACAATTTTTATTTTTTTTTTTGGTATTTCCTTTTTTTCGTTTTAGAAAATTGTGGGAAAACGTTTCTTCTCCACTCAACCACCGTTTGCCATGTGTTGTTGTTAGTCATTGCCACCTTACCACCGGTATTATCCACATGTCGCCGTCGAGAGCCACCGCTTGTAACGTAATGTTTCTCTATCGGTAAGCAATTTAGCAATGAAAATTAGCTTAAAAAAATTCCATTTTTAATTTTCATCTTGCGATTGAAATTAGCAATGGAAGGAATATTTTATCTTGTGTTTTTCTACTTAATCATGTTATTTGTGGATAATATTTGATGATTTAACTATAGTTAAATTATAGCTTGTAGTGTTTCATTTAATAATTACTTATTTGTTTGACTATAATATTTTGTAATTTTGTTTTTTTGGTTGTGGATAACAAGTTTTATATATTTTTGTTCCAAGTATAATTTTCCAAAATATTCATCCAAATAGATTTTTTTTTTAATTCTCAAAACTTGGTCTAGAGTACAAGAAAACAAAAAAAACGGAAGTACACAGGCGTGCATATCTTAATTTTCATTCAGTGCATGAAGGAATCCTTTTCCATAGTTGAGACCAAAAGGAGCCTAAAGCTTATAAACAACTCCAATATGTCAAGGCACCAAATAACTAATTGTAACTGAGTTGAAAACAATCAATCAGAAATTACAAGCAAGAATTTGAATTTCTTCTGGCTGATCCTATCCCTGTTTTGAATTGCAACTGCAATAATGTTGTCCACAAAAGGCCAAAATAAAAAAAAACGATGGTTTTGACGTTTTGTTGCCACCAACGCTTTACCAAATGGGTAAGGGGAACGTTTGGCAATAAGTCCTCAGTTCAATAGTTGTATGAAATTCCAACGGCTAAACCGAAATTCCATTTCCCCCTTTGAACTGAAATTCATTTCAAATAGAACACTGATTCATATTTTCATGGAACAGGTTATGCAAAAATACAGCTAGATAAGTGAGCTAACCTCTGTAGCTCGACCTTGTCCAACTGTATCATATAACAAATTAGTTTAAAGAGAGACCTTCAAGTAGATTCTGAGCCAGCAGAAGGAAGCTGTGGCTCCATTTCTGAGTTGGAATTATTTTGCAGTCCATCGCAATACTGTTGCATCACCAAAACTGAAGCTGTGGTATGAAAATCTTGGGATGCCAATAACCCACCAACAGGACCAAGTTCTGGGCATTCACTTCTTTGCAAAGCAAATGCTACCTCGCTATTTGGCCTTGCACCCACAAGAAACAGATTGCAGCAATTGAACTCACGAATAGTAGCAACTGTTTCTTCTTCACTTTTAACGATTTTCTCTGCGTAGTTGATTGAGCCATCATCGGTTTTTTTCTGCTTTAATTCATTCAGGAATTCCTCATCTTCCGGGACTAGTTTGGTGCCAGAGTGGTCCACATCAACTCTAACAATCTCTCCTTCAAGGTTTGGTTCTGAAACAAATCGTACTACCACTAATCTTATGCCAGGGTGCTCAGCCATACGGCATCCATAAGCAAGGGCTTCACGGTCATCACCACCACCAAAGAAAAGTACCGTGATACAGTAAGAGACATTACTTGCAGGGACATGGTATGCACCACCAAGCCCACGATCAACCAGAATTCCAACTGAGCATGGAGCATTATCCAATACTCTTTTGTTAACCCATCTGAAATCATTGCGTGTGGTCTCCAGTGAACCATCAAATCTTTGATGTTTATGGAATGGAAGAATAATGACTGCAGCTCTCTTTCTCTCAGCAGTTGCACAAATGTCTTCGTGCATGTCAGCCATCGATGAGATTGCAATCATTGGCCGGACAGACACTTGGCTTAGCTGCTGATATGCTTCAAACGCCACAACAACTTGATCAGAATCAGCATGATGTGCCTTGTTCCAGAAGGGCAACCCATTTTTTCTCGCTTTATGTACCATTAATATGGACGATGACCTTTCAGAAAATTCTTTAAGGTGCATTGCATAGACAAAAAGTGCATCACGTTTCTGGATTCCTCTTGAAGACTCAATCAGATTTATCATTGATGGAATACTTCTCGCACCAAAGAAACAGGAAAGAACCCTGAGCTGGCTGTTAGGATTTTTTCTCTCAATTGTTCTGTACTTGTAATCAGCCATTTTTGCCTTCCTTGCTGGCTTATACAAAGAAATCACAATAGGGGTTGTGATGAAGGTGGTAAAGAGTGCCATAAGAACCATAATCGCAAAGGTCTGATCATTCAAGACCTGCGAATGAATATCATAAATATCCATCAGAATAATTGATAGGAAGACTAAACTCAATACTGATAGCCCAAAAAAGAAAAAAAGAAAGAAATCAAATACCTTCCTATCTTTGCCAATGTTGAGGACAATTAATTCAACCAAGCCCTTACTATTCATTAAGAATCCCATCACCAGAGCTTCATTCCATGGTATCTTACAGAGACGAGACACTGCAACAGTCCCAACAATCTTCCCAAAACAAGCAGTAGTAATTATGACTAAAACCAGAAGACCCCAAGATTGCAGCCCCTGAATGGTGGCTATGTTAGTCTTCAATCCGCTTGACACAAAGTATAATGGCAGAAGAAGACCTGATACTAGATCCTCTACTTTCTCCACAAGAGCACTGGCGAATGGTCTATCTTTTGGAATCAAAACTCCAACGACAAAAGCACCAAACATGGCATGGATTCCAATGGCATCTGTAGCAAAACCTGCAGCCAGAACAATGGCTAATGTAGCACATATGTATATCTCTTCCACTGGCTCACCCTCAGGGCATTGTTTGGCCATCCATCTGAAGATTGGAGGCATAATGATCATTGAACAAATGACAAAACCAAACCCACATAAGAAGACCCACACTGGCACAAGTGAAGATTGACTCTTGCCTGATAGTGCAATAGCCAGAGCAAGCAGAATCCATGCAGCCACATCATTAACTGCAGCAGCTGACATAGCCATTCTGCCAACATTGGTGGTTAGGAGTTTCAACTCAGCCAGAATACGGGCTAATACAGGAAAAGCAGTGATGGAGAGGGCCACACCCATAAATACAAGAAATGCCATGCTATCCACACCTTTAGCTACTGTTTCTTGGAGAACATAAGATGTACCAATTCCTAACGCAAAAGGAAGGCATATTCCAGCAATCGCAATGCCAAGGGCTTGCTTTCCAGTTTCACGCAGAGATTTAGGATCTAATTCTAGTCCTGCTAGGAAAAGGAAAAACATAAGCCCAATGTTTGCTAGAGTATCCAATACTGTGAGACTTCTGGTCGGGAAAACTGCATGCAGATAGCTTTTACTCCGTCCCAATGCTGACGGTCCAAGCAATATTCCTCCCTGTCAATGAGTAGTCTCAGAAGTATTAGAATCAGGCAAATGTCCGTCCTATTTTCAAATTCAATTGTGCAGTTACAAATTTACAAATTACTTTAGAGCTACGGGGGCCTTTTACATCTCACATAAATAAGCCAGACTCTTAAAATGGTGAAACCAGTGGTGCTTAGAAAAGAATTTATAAAATGAAACATTAGACGCTCTTATAACCCCATCATCTATTTTAATACAAGAAAAAAGATAGCTTATGATCATTAGATCAACAAAGCATTTAAAGAAAAAGAAATTACCACAATCTCTGCAATCACACGAGGCTGCCTTAAAGGCCTTATAAGATATGCCAGTCCCCTTGTGACTAGAACGACAAGACATATCTGAAGTATAGCCAGAGGAAGGGCATAATCAAGAGGGTTATCTCCTTGAAATCCGCCATTTGAAGTGGCTTTCATTGGTAGCGGGCAAGAACTTCCATTTGTGGCGTTGGAAATCATTTCCCTAGTACAAAGCCCACAGCTAACAGCAAACTCACCAAAATTTCTGCAGAGTTAGGCAACCAGTAAGTCACTATACAGTAACAAAGTTCGCTTGCAGCAAGAGCAAGAGATGCAAACATGAAAAACTCATGAACAATACATTCCAGATCATGATAACAACTCCCCATTCCCGAGCAATAACCTGTCTCACATGTGCAAGCAAACAGAGCACAAGTCACCAATACAACTAGCCTAAATATCCAGCAACAGCAGTGAAACGATTATACACAGATTTTGAGTCTTCGACAAATATAATTAACTCTTATATACCATATAAACAAGTAATGAACTGTTTTGATCCAAAAGTTTGCATACCATATAAACAAGTAATGAACATTTTTTATCCAAAAGTCTGAACGAGAAGAGAGTAGCGCTCGGAAATTTCACAGTCAGGGAACTTGCCGTAAATGTATCAAAAGGAATTGTTATTCATATACCAAGGCACCAGAAAAAAAGGACCAAGCGCCATGAACTTAAAACTACAGAAAGAAAAAGAAATCATTCAAACATAACAAGCAGAGAAAGCAAATCTGCATATCCATTACCTGCCCTAGAGCGTCAAAAAGAAAAAGAATCGGGTTCAATCGATTTGAACACCTTCCAACGGTGTGAAAGCAAAATAGACAAGAAGATTGCTCAAGAAGGAATGGATTAGCAAACTCCTTTCGGCACTGCGCTGACGAGTGTCGAGCGTGTGGGAGTGCATACTACGCACATATATGGGTACCGGTTCGGAGCTGGGTCCACCGAATGACGTCGACAGCCAAACGACTATATCCAGCTTTATCCTCCCTAAAAAGTCTGACGGTATTTATGTTTGCATTGAATTTAGGGAAAATTACACTCAGGTCTCACAGAACACAATTAATATCAAAAAGGTCCCTCGAAATCACGAAATGATTCTGAAGTCCTCAGAGACCTGTGTGTAATTAATTCTAATTGTGAAATTACCTACTTATCCCTGTTAATTTTATTGCAGCAATTCGTGTACAATCTCAACAGTGGCTGTTAACAACCCGAGAAGACGTGATTGACAACCTCGGCAGTGCTCATGACAACTCACTCTGTGGAATGTCAGGGGCGTTGTTGAGGTTGTTAACCACCTCTTCTAACAGCCATTGTTGAGATTGTAAATAGGTTCTAATTTTATTGCAGCAATTCGTTTACAATCTCAACAGTGGCTGTTAACAACCAGAGAAGACGTACTTGACAACCTCGGCAGTGCTCATGACAACTCACTTTGTGGAATGTCAGGGGCGTTGTCGAGGTTGTTAACCACCTCTCCTCGAGTTGTTAACAGCTACTGTTGAAGTTGTAAATAGGTTCAAATTAACAGGGGTAACTACGTAATTTCACAATTAGAATTAATTACACATAGGTCCCTGGGGACTTCATAATCATTTCGCGATTTCAGGAACCTTTTTATATTAATTGTGCTCTGTGGGACCTGAGTGTAATTTTCCCTTGAATTTATAATTTATAATTACGGAAAAATAAATTTTTGAATAAAACTTATTTGTAAAATAATTTTCGTAAATTATTATTTATAAAATTAATCTATAACGATTGATTATTTGAAGTTTATGACTTCTTTTTCACCATTATTTGAAGTTGATGACTGAACTAAGATTTTAACTCAAAAATAAATTTCACTATTAAGAATAAGAAGCGTGTTTGGATTATTTTCAACATATAAAAATTTTATCGTATATAATTAGTTATAAATTAGATTCAAATGAAGAAATTGGATATGGTTTTGGGCGAGGGGATTGGATGAAAATGTACATGTAGAAGATGTCTTTTTAAATTTTTAACTAAGTTTTTGGAAACTGGGCAGATTGAAAATCATATCATCAACGAATCTATAAATAATGAGACTATCGGTAATTTAAATTTTAATGTACGAAAAAAATTAATTAAATTACAATTCAAATGGAAATAATTTTATCTAATATGATAGAGGTTCTAGAAACTTTAACCATTCAAATCTCTTATAAAATTTTTTAAAAAAATTACATCCCTTTTACAATGTTTAAGTTGGATTATTTCATAAATTTTATATGCATTTACATTTTGAAATAAAAAATAAAATAATGACAATTTTTATCAAATATTCAAATAATTTAACAAATATTAACTTATTTTTTTGCCGTCAAATATTAGTTTAATTGAGAACATAATATAATCTATGCAAATGATAAATTCATGTCGTTTAAAATCAATTTATATTTGATATATATAGTCTATCTTTATATTAACGCACGTCATTTTGTACATATCTTTATTAGAATATATGAAAGTACAATAACTTTATCATGAACATCCTTTTAAAAACTATCATTCCGGTTTAGGAAAGAACGTCATTTTAGGAAGTACACGTAAAAAAAAAATTGAAAGAAGATAAGTTCTTCTTTCTTTTTTGATTAACTTTCTTGGACATTATAAGAACAAATCCATTCAATTTTTCATTTTAAAAAGGATTACTAATTCTTAACTTTTAGAGAAATCCTTTATCAGTGAGTGACCAGTTTTTGGGTTAACTGATGTTATTATTACATAATCAATTTGAAATATTAGAACTTGACAAAAATTTTAGGTGTGATTTGTTTTTAGGTATACATACATTTTCAGAAAGAAATTGTCCAAAATTAATTTCCTTCCATTTAGGATTAGCAATAAGTTTAATTGGACATACTTTTTTACACAACTCTCATTATTTGAGACTATTCACTTCTTTGGGCTTCTATTGAATTTAGAGATATTTTTTATTGTCTCTGGGGCAATATTACAAAAATATAAACATTTCAAAATTTTATTTTATTACAATAGAATTATTTGAGAAATGTTGAAATTTGTATTACTACTTTGTCATGTCATTCTTAAATTTTTATGATTTTCTTTTGTTGTTGAGATTTTTCCTTTTTTGCATAGACTCTTCCATCTTTATTCTTCATAAAACCGAAAAGGGAAAGAAATTTCTAAGTAATAATTTTTTATGATGGCCATTGCTTTTTATAGTCATTTATATTCCAATTTTGGCTCTGGAAATAAAACCATCTCAATTGAATTTACTGTTTAACATTTTTTCTCAAAATTGCATTACTTTTTTCTTAACATGGCTTCATCTCATAATGTATGAGATAAATGATAATTTTATATAGAATTTTTTACTGAGATATATTCATTTGAAAAAAAATGCAGATAAAAATTTTAAAATTTAATTCCAATAATAAAAAAGTAGAAAAAACTCAAAAAGTGCATAATCATAAAATATCCCGGTCAAAAAAGAATAATCATAAATCATAAAATAAAGCGATGCATGAACCTCAATCCATACTATTCATTGGATCTTCCATCCACATTAATGGTCGTATGCATGGAAACTTTTCATTTTGATGGTATCCATTTTTTAGCTAGTCATCTAAATTATTATCTTGCTTTTTCAATCCTACAATAAATTAATCTCTTCTTTATGCAAAAATTATTTTATTAATTCTATATGCATAGTATTCAAACCATCACACACACGCACTCTCTCTCATATATGAAGACTAAGTCGTAGTTTCGCTCACTTTAAAAGGTTCACTATAAAAAAAAGAAAAAGAATTATGTTCACCCAAAAAAAATTTATTATTCTTGAAGAGAAGCTATTCAATGTTTTTGAACCTTCCTTGTGAATTATATACACGTCAAGAGAAAAATCCACTGAATATATGAAACCCGGCTACCTTTGTGTCGATTATTTCCTTGTGTGTGTGTGTGTAATGTCAATACTTTGCAAAGCAAGAGATTCAGATTCATTCATTCAATCCGTTATTTTGTTTTTAATGTATATTATTTGTGCGAATCCGATAAGTTATTAGGATAAACTTCTATTCTTCGAAAGAGGAAGTAAAACCAAACAAACATTAAACAAAACAAAAAAAGATTGAAATGCAAATCTACTCGGGAAGTCTTTTGGGTTGATATCCCTGTGATGGTTTGAGAGTTTTCCTATGCGCACCGAACATGTAAACTTTTACTGGGCAGAAAAGTACACATGAAAGTTCCAATACAGTGCAAGTTCTAAAATGGTGTAAAACTGTTATGACTACTAAGGGGGTGTTTGGCAAAACCAAAACCTAGGTTTCAGAATCATTTTTCCGCAAAACGAGGTAACCTCATCCACATATTTACTTCGTAATCCGTAAAAACACTTCTGAAATCATTGTTTGGTTTCTATCCAAACACCCCCTAAATCAACCAACATTGAACATTTAGCAAATAGCTAGTCTCCACATGTGTTGCATATAACGGTTTTACTCCCAGTAGCCCCATTCGTCATCGTGACGTCTTTTGTACAATAATGGCTACACCTTCTCTATGTGTCGAAGTTGGGCCTCCCCAAACTGCTTCATCTGTCATCCTTCTATTTCATCACACACAAGCTTGATAAAATATGAATTGAATTGCTCAATGCATGTGAACGTCCTATATCACTACTACAAAAAAAAAAAACTGATAGTTATTTTTGCCTATACTTAACAGTTATGAACCGTCAAATATGCAGGCGTCATATATTTGCATAGCAAATATTTGTGGGAATACTTAACGATTTTAAGAATAAAATTGCCAAGTATTATGACCCCATTTATAGTCTTTTGGTTTTCATTACTTGACTGTTATTGAGTATAACCTACTTGACCGTTATTGATAATAACCGTCAAGTATTGGCATCAATAGTCATCAAGTATTGTTGATTTTTTTGTAAAATAGGCTGGTTGCTTTTCTAGCAGTCCCCTGCATTATGAAAGAAATAGAAAGCATCTCTACAATAAACAGAACTAGGCTAGCAACAAATATTATTCATATGAATCCAATTAACCACCAAACAAAAATTTACATCATATCTATGTATATATAGTAACAAACTAAATGTCATACAATGTGGTCTAAAGCCAAATTAAAATTAGACAAGTATGAAAGGCAAAAGTAAAACCAAATTGGCCAAGTCCTAAGCCAAAATCAAAATTGGTCAATTGCCAAAATCACAACAAAATTGTTCGAGTACCAAAACTAAAAGCATAATACCAAAACCAAAATAGTATTCTACTTCACTATCTATTTTGTGCCCACTAATGATATCAAATCATTGCCAACTCTTCAACAATTTTTTCCATTTGAATGGATGAATATGTCATGCAACATATGTTGGCAAAGTACTGTATACAAAAGCAACTTGAAGCTAGATATAAATGTATAGCTATCCTAAGTATAATTTTAAAATATATAAATTGAATTTTAACAAATGCATGTTACCTTTGGAAGGATTGTGTCCGAATTATGCATGGGCATCTCCTTCATGAATTTCATCATGCAATACCCACAATCCGAGCTTTCGTCTAGCTGACGTGGGCACTATAAAGAGTGGGGAAGGAAAATCTTTTATTTAATGAGATCAAGAAACTATGCTTAGTTGAATAGTAAATAATGGTGAGGATACCTTTACTTTCTTTCATGGGAACAATAAGTCGAATCGACTGCCTTTGATCAAGGGGTAAAGTAAACCTTAATTTGTGTGATACAGCCATAAAACTCTGAGAAGACAATAAAATTGAATATTAATTATTGTAAAAAATTATATAAA